AAGGCTTAACAGTGATATGATGGACTTTTTCAAGATAAAATTACTGAAATACTTAGTTTGAAACAACAGAGAATTGTTTTTCCCAACAGAGATTAAAAGCTGAAGACTGCTTTTAAACATCATTGGACTAGAAAAAAACTTTTTAATATATTTATTTTGTAATCCATTTGTATATGTATAACCATAATTTATATTCATCTTTTTATTTGTTAACAGCAAGAAGAAGCAAGAGTCCTGAGAAGGGTGCCACACAAGCATGGGCTGTTGCCAGCGGACCAGGTGATAATTCTTGATTGTAGTTTTTCTGTAGATTCATTTTGAAATAACTTTTATACATAAAAATGAATATGACATTGCCAGTAAACCCTGACCACACCAAATATATTAAATGGACTTGCCAATCTTAAAGTTTGGACAAAACCACTTAATCATTTTTAATGAAAAAATTAAAAGCTGGAAATTCAAAAATATACTCTGCTTTAGACAGATCAGATCACTGACCTAAGGCAGATGCTTTGAGATGAAGAGTTTTTTTACCAATACATGTATAAATATGTATATCTACATATATTATTCATGTAATAAGTGAAGTGTGATTATGTGTATATAGATTTGGTAGACAGATCCTATGAGAAACCATGGTTAAAACACAGCAAGAAGACAAGGTCTAAAGATGAGGACAGGTGTGAATCCAGACAAGGTATGTTAAATATATTAGAAATACATGATTGACAAGCTAAATAAAGTTAACATATTTCAGGTGAACCATTGTAAAATAAGATAGTTTTTCAGCTCGACTATAAATGTAATGGGGCATCTATGGCCAAGTGGTTAAGATTGTTGAACTAAACAATTTGCCCCTCACCTTTTATAGGTTAAAAATTCGCAAGGGACTTTGGATTCTTTCATGTGAGGAAGCTATCTAGCTAGTTTAAGGAAAGTTGGTGGTTCTACTTAGGTGCCGGCTTGTGCCTGTAATAATGCACAGACCTGAACGTCCACTACCAGTAAAGCGGGAAAGTCACTATATCAACTCTACAGTGTTGTTGCCAAGTAAGCCTAACCAAAAAAGAATAGGTAGAGCTGATGTACTTGTGTCAGTGTCTGTGTTGTCATTGCCATCAAACTTCAGTTAAAATTTTGTATGCAAGTTGGTATCTCCAAAACTACTGAAGAGAATAGGTAGAAACTTGACACACTTGTTCTTTATGAGAATCTTACGTGATGGGGACATGTCACATAACTTTGAGTTATCTTTTCAAAGAGTTATGCCCCCCTTTCCTTTACTGTCGGGCACTGAGAATAGTGGAGTGGTCTGGTTTGCTTACAGCTTGACATTTTTTCATTCACAAGTTTTTTGTTTTTTGTTGTTTTTTTTATATGTGAAATGTGGGTGGGGATAGAGATGCTAAAACAGATGGGGGCAGATAAACATATCAAAATTAACGTTTTGCTAAGTTTATTTCCCAATAGATATCCCATGTAATTTGTTTTTAGCAACACTCATTAATTTAGTGACAGTTTCATAATTGATAACAAACAGCAGATGCAATTTGTAGCTCACCTGAACATAAAATCTCAGAGGTGGGCTTTTGTGATTGCATGAGGTCACAAGTGACCTCAAGGTTATGAAAACAACATATTTTACTGTTTTTAAATTTTTGTAAAAATAGTTAATCTTATATAGACTCAGACTGTATACATTTTAAAAGTGGATTGTTCTACAACGAACATATTTTCCATAAACATGTAAAATATTGATAAAAACAACAAAATAATTTATCGTTTGGATATTCTTATGGAATATTTCCAGAGAGCAAACTGTTGATAGAGTTCTTAAGTTGTTTTGGGTCCTCCTGGCCGCTGGTCCTTGTTGCTGGGTCAGGTTGGGATTAGGTTCATTGAACGCTGCCTTTCCTTGTTTATCTTGTTTATCATATTTTAGTATGAACTTTTATATGAGGAATAATAATATTTTGTTCTAGAACGCTTTATTTCATGCTATATATTAATATGTCATATCTGATATTATGTATCGAGTACTTACCAATAACATCCATATATAATTCTTTTGTGGTTTGTTTTTCACATCTGATTCTAAATACCATCAACATAATTATTTCCGGTATTACGAATCTTCCATTATAGACCAATTCACTTTAACTTGGCTATTATTAATTCTCATTGTTTTAAGGTTCATGTATTCAGGATGTAAATCTAACGTCTGCTCTTCATATATCAAAGAAAGTTCTATGGCCACGTAAAATGTTTTACTATTATTGGCATGGGTTTTTGGTATGCATACATATATACATGTATATTCCAGTGCTACCGTTTGTTCCAATTTGACATTTCTGATAGACAGTGGTTATGAAATATTAACTGGCATCATGGGACGGTATGCAATAAAAGATAATATGATATGTAAATTCATTAATGTGCATTAATGATAATATATTTATATATTAGTAATAATTATATAATGGTTTTGTTTAAACCTCAAGTTGCCAAAAAAGTATGATGGGTTTGCAATGTATTAATTGTTTGTGCGGCAACAAGCAATAATATGATATATAAATTCATTAATATGCATTAATAGTAATTAATTAGTAATTAGTAGAATGTACATTAGTAATACACTGGTTTTGTTTATGAGTGCTTTAATACTAAGCATGCTGAAGAACCAGAGCAAGTTTCTGGAACTCAGGCATCTTTCTGTATCTTGCAATATCCTCCAAAATCTAATATGACTAATATTTTTCTGGAGGATACGCCCATATGGGAAACCTGTGGAGAGTATAAATAAATAAACTAAAATACACTCAAAAGTACAAAATTGAGCAAACATCAGTACAGAGCCTAGTAAGACGGCACAGATCATGATGGGTGTACAGGCTTGCCTGGCTTTATACTTGAGACAAACGCTTGTCAATTTCCAGACGCTTTAATGGCATAAACAATTCCCTATCACTATTACATAATTGAGATAGATATTATCACCTTGTGATGAATTAAATGACCTTTACTTTGAAAGGTCACCTTGTTTATGATAAATTTGGAAAGGTCACTTTTGGGAAAATGACAAATTTAGAAAGATTACCTTGGGAATAATAGAAGGAAGTTCTAAAAATCATCTTTGGAATAGAGTTAGTATTATAAAATACTTATTTAGCGTCTTATTTTCACAAAGTTTAATATTATTTAATATTATTTGCATGGATTTAATGTATGGCTTAGACTTTTTCTCAATCTGGAATGTCTACGGGTGTAATTGAATTTATTCTATAGATTAGGTGTATCAATGAGTGGTTGAGTTGTTAACAAGCCGGACTAGTTATTAAAAGGATTGTTGGCAATGTGGGCTTAAATCCCAAGCTGTTGTTTCTGTGAGCAAGAAATTTTATACTCAATACCTATTACTGGTTGGTTCCAGGAACGGAATCAAAGATGTTTTAATAAGCTTATAACTTCCAACATTATAAATTTGTATAAACTAATCAGTTGCAAAAATATAATACAGGAATTACCCTCAACTAATTGATGTTTCCTTATATAGTATGGTAAAAGTTAGAATTATATATCACCATCATGTGTTTATTAACAATTAAACATTAGATCAGGGTTTTGTGTTATGTCCTTGTGAATTGTGTCAATTATTAGCTTGACTAATTGAGGAAAGGGAGAGCTTATTTTACTCGTTTGTTCGGTGGTGTTTGTGTAACACGCTGGTCAAGTTTTTGTGTGCAAGTTGGTACAATAAAAACTACTGAATGGATTAGGTTGAAACTTCACATACTTATTTTAGAGCACAATAGGAGGTCACTATCCAAGGCCAATTACTGTAACATGGATTTTGATAGAATTATCGCCTTTTTTTGAATTAGAAATTTCTGTGTTATCCTGGCTCCTGTTTTACCATCAAGCACTGAGAATAGTCGAGTGCGCTGTTCTACCAACAGCTCTTGTTTTATTAATATTGACACCATGTTAGAATAAATATTGAATTTGTTTTTTATCCGATAATGTAAAGTGAAACCGATACTCAAATTACCGATAGTATATTAAATAGAAAGGTTCCTGTTTACATTTGCACTGCAATAAAACTTTAGTTTGTGTACAGTGTGTCCCCGATGTGAGCTTTAAAATGAACAAAAACTATAAAAATGCAGCATGGGACAGTCTGTTCATCTGTTTGTTCACATTATTTGTTAATGAACATCTGAAATGACAGATTTTATGCTTAAATATTTATCTCTTTTGCTGCCTACACGACTGAAAAAACTCATTCCACTGTTTACCAAACAAGACCATGTTACTTGCTCACTGCAATATGATTTTATTTATACAAATGATTAATTGATTTTTATGGTATTTATTGCTCGACTTTTTGAACAGCTATTGTCATGAAACTCTTTGACGGTGTTGGTGTCGGTTAACCTTTTTGTTACCAATAAAAGCTATTCACTTCAGACTTGGTTTACATGTCATAAAAAAAGAACAAACACTTGCTTAAGTACATACTTAAGTTAAAGATAGGGCAGCAAACATTATATTTTATGTAGAAGATGTTGTTCTAGCAATTAGATTATAGACAATCAAGCATGTCAGTTGTCTTGATTTACTAACTTTACTTATAACTGTTCATCCATTAATACATGTATAATATTAACCTGTGAATTGATGGAAATTCTTTTTGAAATCACCTGGATACTACTTGAGCATAAGTAAAAATTCTTGGAACAAACTTAATTATTACCCTTTAAGATTTTTTCCGCCTTTTTGATTGGATATTGATCACCCGAAAGAAATTGATATTACCGAGCCAGACGGGTAATATACACACTAAATTTCCCTGTTGGGTACCCTACGTTCTAAACAACATGCGTTGTGGCGATGCTCATATGGTTTGATTTTACGCGATGTAAATTCAGATTTACAAGCACTTTTTAACTGTCATATGATAAATATTTACCAAAACAGAGTAATCATACATATTCTCATCAGTATTGAAAACAAATATGACCTTGTGAAAGCTTGATATTAATTTCAAAAAGTGCGTTCAACAGACTACTCCTTTTCTCTTGTTTATATTGTTAGGTTCGAAAGAAAATACGTCATGTATTTATGTGACGTCATGTAGTGATGAAGGGGTACCCTAAAGGGAATCTTATTTCGACGTTTCATTTGAAGTAGCAATGATTTATTTTAAAATCATCTTAACTGGGCAGGGGAAGGGTAATAAAATTATTATTTTGGTTTGTGAGTGATATATTTGGATATATTACCTGCCAAGATAAAATATCTTATAGATATAAAATCTTGACAGGTAATATATCCACATATATCACTCCAAAACCAAAATAACATATTTCATGTGATGGGCTCCCGTCCTGTGCTAACCTTACAGCTTGCCTTTTTCAAAGGATCTAGCATTGATCAAGATTATGCACTGTAAGTCTAGGGTGCTATATTATCAACAACTTTGGGCTTCATACAAAACTTCCCTTAGACGTGGGACAAATTCTCTTTTGTAAATGGATGCGGTTTTTGTTTGCCAAAATGGTGTTTTCAACTACAATTTAGTTTATCTTTCCTGGCTAAATACAAATTTCTATACTGTCACCTTAGTGCAGTAACAGCTCAACTCCTTATATAATTTGATAGGTGTTAACCCGTTACTGCACTAAGGTGACAATATCTGGAAATGTAAGAACCCTTTAAGTTTAATCCTTACTGCCATGAACCCTTTACCTGCTGACGGCAATGGATTTTACCCAAGCAACCAGTGCAGACCAGGATCATCTGGCACATCTGTCACTGTTAGCTATTTCATCATTAAGAAATTTGAAATTTTCCCTAAAAGTGATGAATGATTATGTCCAAATTGAAAGATTGATAAGCCAATTTAAGATTTTTAGCATGGTAATTAATATAACATTGATATTGGAAAATAACATGTACATAAAAAGTATGCAAACTAACACAGTATATGTCATTTACTAATTGATTGTACATAGAGGATATTGAATGAATATAGGTTAAATACTAAATTTATTGAACATGCTGAACAAAATCTAAATATAGTTTTATTCAACAAGTTTAATAAAATTAGTATTGAATCAACATGAACATGATATAGTTCTGTACATCAGATATTCATAATAAGAACAGTTAACCATTAAAAAGAGTCATCCTTCATTTATGCACCTATAGTGTACATGGCTCACTGGAGTTCCTTAAATAACTTTATGAAATAAGGGAAATACCCTATTGTATGTAGAATACAATTAGAACTCTATGCAAAGGAAGCACAGCACTACTGTAAGTCATTTAGATATTGTAAGACAAATTTGATGAGAGTGCCAAAATTATTTGTTCAGTTTTAAGTGTTCTCAGTATCACCCAGTCATATATAGTTTGACTGATCATTACAATGTTAGCCCTTTTAAAGGCCCATTATGCCATAGAAATGAATAAATGTTTACTTCTTTAGAAAAGGAATATATCAGTTAAGTAATGTTTAAATTATGGGTAAAAGTTTTTAGATGCTTGTTACCAGAAGACAATAGCGCTAAATGTGAAATAATTTGTCATAAGTAGCGAAGTGTAAACAAGGGAGTGTTTTGACTTCCAAACAAAAAACTAAATCGCTACAATTGTACTAAATGCAAACAAGCAAAAGATTTTTCAAGTCATTTATCGATGAGTAACTTTTTCCAAACCACAAAAGTACAAAAAATAAATAAAAAGCTTTATAGAAATAGAAATAAAAAAGCATGTATTTGGCATAATGGGCCTTTAATCATACATAAGACCTAGAAGGTTTATACACGATTTCCAGTTTAGTCTTTGAACTTTCCATTGATAAAACTTAAAAAGAATTTTCTGAAATCATTGCCAGAGAGTTTTGATTTGATGCAATGTATTTAAGCAAATAACTTTATAGATTTTCATGGTCTTTTTTCTAAAGGGACGGCAAAGAAACAGCAGAAGTCTGGCTGGATGTCTGATACAAAAGTCACGACAACAAGTTTTGATGAGCTGTTTGAAGAAGATGCACATGCTGGTTCCAGGCAGCCAACACAAGGGGGAACCAGACATAGAAAAGAAGGCGGCACAGATATTACAAAAGCGTGGGCACAGCATGTCAGTTTAGATGTAAGAAATCCCGACCTTATTCCTTATTGAACAATTTTGGTGTAAATTAGTACTGATTTCTGTCTTTTTATTCCCCCGGGCATATAGTAATTGAACCGTCCGCACTTAGAAAATGAATAATGGTTAACCTAAAATGGCAAGTTGGAAATATCTTAATTTCTATATATACTAATGGCTTTATAATTTCCACACTTACTTATGAATACAAAGTACATGATATTGCCAAGTTATATAACTGTGTCATCCATATTTCCCAGATATTTCCCTTATTTCACTTTGAAAATAGGGCCTTGTCTGGTTAACCTATTTCAGCAAGTTGGATTTATCTTAAATTTCTCCTAATTGCTTAATTTCTTTAATGATATCTTTCATATTTAGTAGGTGGATACCTTTGATGGTCCTCTAATTTTTTGTGGAGTAAGTGGTCTCTAGGGTCAAGGTCAAGGTCACTGGTTTAAAAAATAAATATAAACATTTTTGCTCATGCAGCCTTTTTTTATTAGTTGATGTCTTAGGTTAATACAAACATGCCAAGGGAGGTCCTCCTTCTTTGGGTGTAGTAAGGGGTCATTTGGGTCAAGGTCAATGTTACCAATGTCAAGGTCACCAATGTTAAAACTATTTACAGTGTATTGACCTTATTCTATAGACAGATGTTATTTATAATTGATAGAAACATAAACTTTGATGGAGTTAGTAGTCAGTTGGGTCAAGGTCACCAGTGCTAAAAATAGATTTTTACAAATTTGCTCATACAGCCTTTATTAAGTGACAGATATATTTTATACTTGGTAGGAAGATAACTTGCATGGTATTCATCCTTTTGATTGGGGTAGGGATCAGTGGGTCAAGGTCACTTGTGCTAAAAATAGATTTTTACACTTTTGCCCATACAGCCTTTATTTATTGACAGATGTATTTCATATTTGGTAGGAAGATAACTTGAATGGTATTCTTCCTTTGGATGGGGTAATGGGTCAGTTGGGTCAAGGTCACCAGTGCTCAAAATAGATTTTTACACTTTTGCCCATACAGCCTTTATTTATTTACAGATGTATTTCATATTTGGTAGGAAGATAACTTACATGGTATTCTTCTTTTGGATAGAGTTAGGGGTCAGTTTGGTCAAAGTCACCAGTGCTCAAAATAGATTTTTACACTTTTTCCCATACAGCCTTTATTTAATGACAGATGTATTTCATATTTGATAGGAAGATAACTTGCATGAAGTTGAATATTTTTCAACTTCACAAGTCAGAGCAATGACTCGGCTCACAATTACAAAATGCCATGACTTTGTCAAGCTATATAACTTGTGTTTACAATTTTTGGGCAATTTTTCTGTCCATAACTGAGTGAATGGGAAAACATTTTTAGCTCGACTATTTGATAAGAATAAGTAGAGCTATTGTAGTCACCCGAGCATCGATGTCGATGTTTGCGTCGGCGTCGGCGTAATCAGGGCTCTAGCAACTGGGCGATTTGGGCGACATAGTCGCCTAAAGTTTCAGAACTTCGCCGAGTTTGAACATCAAAGCGAAAACGACTTCGCCGTGCTTTTTTACTGACCACATGTACATATAGCTATCATACAGCGCATGTAAATTAAGTTAATCCTCGCCTCCAGGCATAAATCAAACTGCCGATAATTGACATCAATTAACACATTTAAGTGACATGATATGCAGATGCATCGGACATTATTGCCATTTAATTTGCCGATGTAAACATCACATTTTTTAACACCTGTCACTATTTTATCAGCGGGTGTAAAAAGATTACACCCGGAATAGCTATTACCATATTTGACAGTAAATACACGCAACCTCACACAGACCGTGTAAATAAACTTGCATATAAATTAATACACACAGAAGCACAAGTAAATGGTTTGATACCTGTTTGATAGTAAAAATGAAATTTGTTAAAGAACTTATTGACCCACATTAGACAAATTTTGGACAAGTCGAAAACAGCAGTAAACTTTGTCTTCAAAAAGTTACATAAACGGCGGTAAATTATGCGGTAAACTACAAATTTGAAAATTTTGTTTTACAGTGCCTGTTGCAATAGCGGATGAATAACAATCTAAAAATGATCATTGAATATTTAATTTAATATAATCAAAATCGACAACAACTAGAATTATAAGTGTTTCTGCAGGAAAAAGACACATTTTCATTTGTCACATATTTTCGCGATGCCGATTTTTACAATGAAAAAATAAAGTTACCAAAAAGAAAATTTGTTTTGTTAAAATGTGTCCAATAGCACTTAAAATGTAGTTTATTAATGAAAATTCCTTAAGGTATTGTTTACATTAATTTTAATTGAGAATTTTGCCAGTATACATTGTACAATGAAAATTTTCTTAAGGGAGGGGGGTGTGTGGAGTTAATCAGTTAGAAAACATTATAATGGTCTGATGATAGAGGGTTTTAGAATTTATACTTCAAATATCAATACCAATAAATATGTAAAACTCCTTTTTATAGATCAAATCAATGTGCTTAAACCCTTTTTCACTTCTCCTTATGTCGTCAAACTTCTCCCTGATAGGACCTGAGGGAGAAGTCACTTCTCCCTAAATTTTGGTCTAGCTAGAGCCCTGGTTAAAGTTTTTGTAATAGTTCAAATATTTTCAAAGTCCATTGACATATGGCTTTGAAACTTTGCACACTTGTTCACCATCATGACCCCAACCTGTAGACAGGAGGTAGCTCTATCAAGCATTTTGACAGAATTATGCCCCTTTTTCGACTTAGAATTTACGTTAAAGTTTTTGTAATAGTTCAAATATTTTCAAAGTCCATTGACATATGGCTTTGAAACTTTGCACACTTGTTCACCATCATGACCCCAACCTGTAGACAGGAGGAGGGAACTGTATCAAGCATTTTGACAGAATTATGCCCCTTTTTCGACTTAGAATTTACGTTAAAGTTTTTGTAATACCTCAAATATTTTCAAAGTCCATTGATATATGGCTTTGAAACTTTGCACACTTGTTCACCATCATGACCCCAACCTGTAGACAGGAGGAGGTAACTCTATCAAGCACTTTGACAGAATTATGCCCCTTTTTCGACTTAGAATTTACCTTAAAGTTTCTGTAATACCTCAAATATTTTCAAAGTCCATGGACATATGGCTTTGAAACTTTGCACACTTGTTCACCATCATCACCCCAACCTGTAAACTGGAGGAGGTAACTGTATCAAGCATTTTGTTTTTACTATCAAGCACTAAGAATAGTCGAGCGTTGCTGTCCTACCGACAGCTCTTGTTGGAAATATTGCTACTGACAAGAATCTGAGCCGTGGGCATTTGTGTTTAATAAACACGTTCTTTTTTTTTTTAATCCTTAAAACTTCAAAGCCTTTTGTGTGTAATTTATGCAATGGACAATTTAGTGTAACTTGTAACTCATGTAACATTGTCAGTACAAAAGTATAAAAATTATACATCCAATATAACCTAGCCAGTTTTGTACAATTATGTGACCTTACCAACTTTAATATTGGTACACCTATGTGACCCAGCCTATTTTTATAGAAGCACACCTATGTGATCTAGCCTACTTTGATATCGGTACACCTATGTGACCTTCTTTTCATTGATATTGCTTCACCTATGTGACTTAGCCTTCTTTGACTACTTTTATAATGTTAATCCTATGTGATATGGACAATTCAAAACATATTACACAGAAGTGATCTGGCCATTTGTTGAGTACAATAATCAGTCACCTATGTGGTAGAGCCCACTGTTAAGACTGAGACATTTATGTCCCTTGAGCCAGCTTTGGAAAATCTGTATGTTCTTGCAAACTTTGATAATGGTAAATTTATATGATCAGTATTTAGTAAGGCACATTGGTTCAATCTGAGCAAATTGTTAACTATTTAGTTTTGATATCTCATCCTATATATATTACAGACTGTTCTAAATTGAAAGTTGAAATTTTGTGACACAAAGTTGTCAAGGAGAGAATAATTAATAACTTAAACCTTATAAATACATATGACATTATATTCGCAGGATAGTGAAGACCCAAACTATAGAAGTAAAGGTTATTCTGGTCCTCGTTGCCAAAGAGACGAAAGTGATCCATTAGCCGGGGAGATAATGCTTGCCAAGGAGGAGAGTACAGTTGAAAGTTCTGTTAGGTAATTTTCCTTCAATTCTATTTTAAATGCCTGTTTGAAAAGCAGGACATATTATGGGAATGCCCCTGGCATGGCGGTTGGCGTCCAATTTAGTCCAGAGGATATATCCTACACGCATGGAGGAATTTTTATGAAACTTCATGGATATGTTCACCTCTATGAGAAACTGTGTCGTGCACATTAAATAGGTATCTAGATCAAAGGTCAAGGTCACACTTAGTTCTCTGAAAAATGGTTGTCCCTGTAAAGGGACCAACTGCCATGCTACACTTCTTATTGCCCATATCTACACCTAAAGCTTTTGTGTGGGGCATAATTATTTTGTGACTATCATTGTCAATGTCACCCTTGTTATCTATTTTTTTAACCAAGGAAATGTAACTTTCGTTGAGCAGGCTAATCTACCCTTCCTGGGTTTGGCATTCACATTCTCATCAGCATTGTCCCTACACTGTTTCGTGTGATAAAAATGTGTGCGGAACTTCTTACCTGGCAAGATATTAAAGGTATTTTTGAAATGCATTGTAAGTCATTTCATAGTTGGCAAGTTGTACTTTTCTCAGATCTCTCTTTAACTACAGGATATTTTTTATGGGCAAGTGTATATCTTTTTTCTTAACTGTAAGTACAGGCTTGGAAAACTGTGTCTGGGAATTGATCCTTTGGCTCAGTGGGCAAGAATGTTATTACTAATGAGGAACAAGTTGCTAATTCGAATCCTAGTTACAGCACAAGATCTTTTCTGATGCATTTGCATCATTTTGTTATAAAAAAATATATAATTAAGGTATGATTGAGTATAATATCAACAATGGTTTTCATCAGGATAAACAGCACAACACTGAGTTAAATGTTTGTCTTATCGGTTTAAAAAGTGATGTAATTTATAACAATCCTAAACCAGCTACCGGTACAAACCGGAATATTTAGCGTGAGGGTAACTGTTTAAGGCAGTAACAAGGCTCTCCCAAGTTTTTCACCAAACCTTTACCCAAGAGCTAGATATTACCGTCTATGACACCATTTAAAGCATGTGATCTGTCTTTCACAAGGGGGTGTAAGACGGGTTTTTCTAGCACTGGTGTAAACAGTGTCATATGCAAGAAAAAGAATTAATGATTTTTGTTATTACGGACAGTACTTTATTTGGTAAAATATTCCCAATTTCAGTTTATTAAAACCAAAGGGAGCAAAACAAGATGCAGAGAGACATAGACAAGATCTGGAGAAGATATTACATGAATCTGATAAAGTATCTATAGACTCGGGATTTGATGATGTCCGAAACAACGATGAACAAGATGATGCTATTGAACTGTTGGGTAATAAAATACAGGGTTAAAGCTGCATGCCTCAAGATGAGCCAAAATATTTCAATAAAATCAAACTTTGTGAAAAATGTACTAAGATTTTAGGAAATGTAGAAAGATTCAAGATTCAGATAATTATTTTTTTAAATGGATTGTGTGATTAATGACTGATAATCAGTATTTATAACTTTATTTCTACTGCGTTACTAATGCAGTTTAGGGCTATTTTTGCCTAAATTACCTCTTTTTGGTGATTTACCTGGGTTGTTAGTGTAATTGATTAGGTTTAAATTGCTTCCTTTTGGTTACTTCACAATATTATACTTTTAAAAACATTTTTAAAATTTTCATGAAAATTAGCATGAATTTGGAGACGGGCTGCTGTAATACCACATTTGTTTTTGCAACCATTAACATCTGTAGAAACAGGAGGACAGGTTTAAATCCCAAGCCCTAGGAGCGAACGGCAAAGGATTAAATAAGTTTTTTGGACTTTTGCAGATGTTAATTCACAAGAATAGGTGCATTGAGTGTTATTCTTGCATAAAAGAATGCATCAAAGTCAGTAACACTGCATTTCTTTATTTGTTTTTGTGTCGCCTCTACGGAGTAGTGGCGACATATAGGGATCACTTCTCCGACGTCTGTCTGTCTGTCCGTCCGTCCGTCACAAAACTTGTCCGGACTACTCCTCATAAACTACTGGTGCAATTTCATCCAAACTTTACAGGAATGATCAGTACCAAGTCTAGTTGTGCATATTGTCAGCATTTTCCGGTTCAATGATTTTTGTCAGAGTTATGGCCCTTTAATAATTTTTTATTTTAAAGTTTGTCCGGACTACTTCTCTTATACCACTAATGCAATTTCAATGAAACTTTACAGGATTGATTTGTAGCTCAAGTCCTTGTGCATATTGCACGGGTTTTCCGGTTGAATGATTTTTGGCTGAGTTATGGCCTTTTGATAAAAAGGTTTCTTTTTCTGTGTGTTGCCAGGTACACAAAAGCTTGTCCGGACTACTCCTCATAAACTACTGGTGCAATTTCATCCAAACTTTACAGGAATGATCAGTACCAAGTCTAGTTGTGCATATTGTCAGCATTTTCCGGTTCAATGATTTTTGTTTGAGTTATGGCCCTTTAATAATTTTTTATTTTAAAGTTTGTCCGGACTACTTCTCTTATACCACTAATGCAATTTCAATGAAACTTTACAGGATTGATCTGTAGCTCAAGTCCTTGTGCATATTGCACGGGTTTTCTGGTTGAATGATTTTTGGCTGAGTTATGGCCCTTTGATAAAAAGGTGTTTTTTTCTGTGTGTTGCCAGATACGCAAAAGCTTGTCCGGACTACTCCTCATAAACTACTGGTGCAATTTTATCCAAACTTTACAGGGATGATCAGTACAAAGTGGTTAGTCTAGTTGTGCACTGTCCGTCTGTCTGTCCGTCTGTCACAAAATTTGTCCCAACATAAAATTGGCCATCATGAGGCGACACATGTGATTACTGATCGCTCTTGTTTGTGTGAAGAAACAATTTTGTTATGCTTTTCATGTGCTAGTGCGAAGTCATTTGATAGTAATGTTTTGATAATGTAACTAACAGGGCCTTCATTGCATGTTTTGTGATGCAAGTAAGCTTATTAAAATAAAAACTTGCAACAATGGTATGTGCTTGTGTAATTAGGTGAATACATTGTTTTCTTTTCCATAATTGTATACCTGCAGTGTATTGATTTTATGCAAGAATAAAGTTCAGTGTCTGTATATTTAATTAATACTATTTTGATAAACAAGATTTCATTTAAGAAATCTTATTCCAATAAGTTTTGAAAACAGTCATGGGCACTGTGTTATAGAAATTTTGTGTTGTGTTGGTGGTGAATTCATCCAATATAACAGCAGTAAGCCTGGCACATTGAATTTACCAGAGTTCAGTTCAGCCACGGCATCGTTTCTTGGTAGTTGACCAGTATACTTGTTGCCTTCAATTTCATAAGGAATGTTAACTTCTATACATACAGTAGCAGGGACTCCAGTAGCTAAGAACTGTAGAAAGGTTTTATGATCAATCACAATGTTGTCTACACTATCTGGAATCAAACCCATCAAACCCAGGTTGCTTGATTCACAGCTCAATGCTTTACCTATTGAGCTATCCAGATGGCTCTAACCTTTATGTGTGTTCTGTTCCTTGACTTTATACATGCTGTTATGTTTTGTTTTAGAAAATTTGTAATTTTTTTATGTTTTTTTGTTATTCACAGAGGATCCAGAAGATCTATTGAGGGAGGGTGTGACAAACATTCCTACATCTGGATATAAACTCAGCAGGGTATGTAATATTGACGATTAACATGTAATTATGCTCAATGAAAGCTAGTTTTATTGTCTAAAGGCACATTATGTCTCGGTCACAAATACCTTTTTTCTTCTTTAGAAATAGCAAACATGAATTTTGTTAAAGTAATGGTTTTCAGAGAAGGTTAGATACTTGTTATCTGAAGAAAGTAGTGATAAATATGGAATAACTTGTCATAAATGAGGCAAATTGTAAACATAGTGTTCGGACTTTCATAGGAAATACTTATTCACTATAATTGTACTTATTGCCAAAAAGCAACAGATGAAAAGAGGTGGTCTGGGTAATTGACCAATGAGTAACTTTTTGGATAGTATAATAGTACACCAAATTTAAAAAGCTTTTGAGAAATGGAAATAAAAGCATTTCTGAGTCATAATGAACCTTTTAATCAACTCTTGTTAATATTGCGGATATATATTACATAAAACTATGGCATTTACATGTTTTGTTGTAAAAGTGTCTTATAAAGAAGTTCATTATAGTGTTGGTTTTATTTAAGCAATATACCCCTGTACTATAAGCATAAATTTTAAAAATTAGCAAGTGTTGCAACACTTTTCATTAAAATCTGGAGTAGCACACACATATGGTTTTCAATTTATTTCTGAGTATGTTTCTTAATTATCTTTTGTATGTCTTTTTGTAATAAATGCCACAGCTTATCTATATATGAAATTCAAATTTTTGTTTTCAAACTGGAGTTTCCATAACATTCTTGATCCCATATACAATGTACCTTCATTAGACTTTCTGTATGTCACAATAACATAGGCTGTATTTTAACATTTTCAGATTCTACGCCAAAGACAAGAAGATGCCAATGTAAAGTTAAATATCAAGTAAGTTTTATAGTAGTATTTAGCCTTATGCTTTGTTTGAAGAAAATATTTTTTGTACATTTAAACTTATACTTTGTCAGAAGAAAACTTTTTTTGTACAGTTTTTGTCTCAATAATATTGTCTTAAGGCATATAAAAACTTAAAAAAAAAACAGTCCTGTGAAGTATTTTTGCTGCTGTCCTTGTTAAGGTCAATATTTAAAGAAAAAATGTCTGTGTATTGTTATAACACTCTAGTCACTGTAAGTGTTGGCATTGGTTTAACATTTTTAGCTCGACTATTCGATAAGAATAAGTAGAGCTATTGCAGTCACCCGAGCGTCGGCGTCGGCGTAACCACTTATGTTAAAGTTTTTGTAATAGTTCAAATATTTTCAAAGTCCATTGACATATGGCTTTGAAACTTTGCACACTTGTTCACCATCATGACCCCAACCTGTAGACAGGAGGAGGTAACTCTATCAAGCATTTTGACAGAATTATGCCCCTTTTTCGACTTAGAATTTACGTTAAAGTTTTTGTAATAGTTCAAATATTTTCAAAGTCCATTGACATATGGCTTTGAAACTTTGCACACTTGTTCACCATCATGACCCCAACCTGTAAACAGGAGGAGGTAACTGTATCAAGCATTTTTTTTACTATCAAGCACTAAGAATAGTCGAGCGTTGCTGTCCTACCGACAGCTCTTGTTGTTTAGATCAATATTTTTTCAGAAACTTTCAAAGCTATTCCTTTCAAACTTGGTATACATGTTAACTATAAGAAAATGTGACTGTGTATAAAAGAGACACATAAATCTTCAATATTTTTTCAGAGTTATGACTCTTTTCTTATTTATCTTTTTTTATTTGCCCATAATATTATCTGCAACATTATATAATTACATAATGGAAACTAGCTACTAGACAAGCAGTCTTATGTTGGCGTCCAATTCCAATCGATCGAAAAAAGTGTTGTTCAATTCATGTATTTCTGACATTATTAGGAAAAATTACATTGATGAATATTAATAAAATCAAGTAAAGACTGGTTTAAAGCTAAAGAACTGTAAAAATATCATGTCATTTGGCTTAAATTTATCTTATTTACACTGTCTACTACGGACAAAAAACTGCCTTTCAGATGACTCACAACAGCCAGTGCGCCTGATTGGATGAAAAGATAACGTGACACTAGTCTTCAGTCTCATGTCCCGTTACATTTTATGCCAGATATTATGTATAAATGTTATTTATTACAGTGTGTCAGGTTTAGAGGAAGGCAGTAAGTTATATAACGTAGCTTGGCATTTATCTTTGCCAATTTTAAAACCAATTAGAAGTAGACATATTTTGTTTAGCATAACTGTCACCAGCTTTTGATAGATGTTTCCAAAGACTGTGTTCATAAAATGTATATAGTTTAAAAAACAAGTTAGAAATATTGATGCAATTATGTGTGATGCAAAAAAAATTAAATAAATGCAAAAACAAAAAGAAAAAGCAAAATAAAAAGTACAGGTGAACGGTTGTGTTGGATCCTTATTACAAAACTATGCATTTTGGATCATATGTTTGATACTACAAATTACACGTGCCAGAATACATGTGATCAAGTTCTCGGCAAATCATGTTTTCTTTTCCCATCTAATATTGGGTTTAAATAAACATTCACTGTTATAGCTTCACTATGCACTACTCTTTGCAATAGAGTGATCAATTTGTTGTGCTTATCATCAATTTTTTTTACCAAGTAGTAATAATCAGTTATTATAAAAAAAAAATTTTACTCTTGGATTAGATGGGAAAAACCCACATTTACGGAGTTGCACAGTATCTTTTTACCTAAATGGGCACCTTATGTCTTCCTCCACTTGTAAAGCTGGAAAATCACCATATAACCCTTACATTAACAGCTAGACTAAAGTGTGTCTTAAAACTAAAAAAATAAACATTAATTTTGAAAGCCAGTATATGATTATAACAAATGTGATTTAAATTGCACTGAAATTTGTTTATTTAATTTTAACATTTAAATTTTTGTGTTTTATAACTATATACAAAGATGAACACAGTTTTGACAAGTTTAAGTTTTTATTTCCAGTTTCTTACACTTCTAACAGTTTTGTTGTCATCTCACAATTTCAGTCTATTTACTGGTACCCCAGCCTCTGACTATGGTAAGTAGTCACATCTATCATTCTTGGTAACTTTAGATACAACTACCTCAAAGTCACTACATGTATACTGTAATACAACCCTGTTTTTTGTTGCTAACTAATACTAGCATTTTATTGAAGATTGTGGTTTTCTCACCTAGGTGCCAGCTTATATTTGTCAGCCTTTTTTTTCCATGAGAAGGCCTTCCTCCACAAGTTGATATATAACATTGAACCAGGCTATATAAACCAAGTGGTGACTTGGCAGAGTGATTTAATATACTTGTAACTAAGGATTGCTGGCTGTGTGGGTTCAAACCCTGTCATGGGCAAGCCGTTGTTTCTGTGAGCAAGACACTTAACACTCATTGCTTAGTACTGGTTGGTTCTAGGAACTGATTTGAGAGTGTTTTTTATAAGCATATAGCTTCCAACACAATCAATTAAAAAAATATTATAAACCAAGGTTTATTTTTTAAATGTTTCCTTTAACACAATATAAATTTATGAAAAGTTTAAAGTGACATTATGCTCATATTTTCATTGCCAAGTTGAGCTGAGATTTCTATTGAATTGACTCTATATTTCAAAGGATTGACTGTAATAATGGTGACTGACCAATAGTTGATATTGAAAAAAATGTTTTAAATAAAATATAATTCTGTCTAACCTCACTCATTTTATAGTACAGGTAAATTCTAATGGATATTTACATGATGTTCCTTACCCAACATGAGTCATTTATCATTCACTTGAAGTAAACTATTATAATTAAATAGAAAGCAACTATGGCAAAGTGTAAACTTATTATGACTTTAACCTGTCCCTTAGATGGGCATAATGTCACTTTAGATAAATCTTATGAAAGAGTTTTATTTAGTTTTTAGCAGGTAAGAAAGACTTTTTTAAGATCTTCACATGTTTACACTAGTATATTATAAAATTAGAGTAGAATTTTTTTTTGAGATCTTGCCTCCAGATTTATGCTAATTTTCATGAAAATGTTTAAAATGTATTTAAAAGTAAAATACATGTACATGTATTGTGAAGTGGTCAAAGAAAGTAATTTATACATTCCAAACAGCATTTTCAAGCCATGAAAATTTAACTGTACCAAAAAGAGGTCAAAATATGCAAAATTAGCCCTTACTGCATTAAGTCAAGCAATAGAAATATAGTGATATAAATACTGAAAAATCAGTCATTATTTGCAGAGGACATGTAACTTATTACTTGAATCTTGAATCTTTTTACTTTTCTTAAAACATAAGTAAATTTTTCTCAAGTTTGTTTTTCTTAAAATATTTTGGCTCATCTGGAGGCTTACAGCTTTGAACATGTTTAATGTCTCATAATGTATATACATGTATATAACAATATACATGTATATAACAATGTAGCTTTTATTTAGTTCATGTAGATGATTCATCGAATCTAGATGTTGCTTTAGTACTTTGATTTAGAAAATTGCAATTATTATAAGCTAGGCTGAACTTTCCTTTGTTTACCAGTCTTTAGTGGTTTATTTTATCGAATTTCATTCACAAGAGGTTTACCATTTATAATAATGGGCTGAAAGAGTTAATCAGTGTTGATTAAAAATTCCGTTTGAAAGGGAAGTAAGTCTGCTTGTAACAGTATGCCCGCCACTTGAGAAATCTCCGGAACATGAGACACCCTCGCTGAATGTAAAAAAGAATGAAAAAGAATGTAACAAAAGATCATGGTATTTACATGCCCTCATAAAATTACTTACCATTTATCCAATGAAATAGGCTAGGGAGATTAGAGATTATTTTTTTAAATGAGGATTGGAGAGTATTTAATTATCTTAATTGATATTGTATATGTAGGTCAAATCATTTTACCGTCTGCTTATTGACGTTTATTGCTTTGAACGGATAATAAGAGATTGTAATTAATTTCTGATTGATATAAGAGTATGTAGATCATCTCAACTTTCCGTCTGATACTTGAGTATTTTACGTCTCTGAGCAATTTATTTGTATTCCCGGTAGGTCAGACAATTTTATATAAGTTCAGTGGCATAGCCGATCCTATTGGCAATGTAGGTCATAGTACATATTTTCCCAAAGAAAAAGAAAAAAATGAAAAATTATTTATTTGTCAATCTGAATTTTTTTTTTAACCAGAATTTTGAACATATTTATTTTACTAAATATATATGCCATATACACCAATACACACCTCCTTACTGTTTTGTTGCTAGAGTCTCAATCAACGAAACTAATACAGTATATGTGATAATATTGCGATTTTCAAAGAATTAAAGGAATGTACTATAGAAAATGGATTATTACTTTATTCTTTATATAGAATGTATAAAGGAAACAAACTTTTATTGAAATGAAATTTTCAAAGTTAAGATAAAACATTTTGTTTTAAACCTTCTACCAAAATGTGTTAAAATGGTTAAAATGCCCCCCCCCCCCCCCAACCCCTACTCTTAAAAAATATCAAAAATATCATACGAAATCTCAAAGATTGGTAGCCAACAAAAACAAATTTGTACTGTCTCCTGTCTCTAATGGTCATAATTTTGTCTATTACTGCTGATTCAAATCTTATGTGGGACTCTAAGTTTTCTTGCATAGCAGTCTGGTGTTTCTGTGTGTTTCACCCAATTGCAGGAAATTTCATCTGGCAGGGGGGGGGGGGTGCCAGATGAGTAGCGTGCCATACAAAAACGTCATTTTAGTGCACTTAATTAATGAACCTCCATAAAATGACGTCATTTTAGAAGGGAAATATGTGCTAAGGATGACGTCATTTTGCCGTGGCTATTAAAGCTGTAAGTTCATACGCTATTGTAAGAAAATAGTTATGGATGAAATGACTTTAATTTCCATGAACATACATGTATATCTAATTGAGGTAAACCATTTTAAATATGAAATAATATGGCAGAATATGCAAGAAAAAATATCTGACATATGATTGCGGTTCGGATCGGATTATCCGTCCCTCGGTAACCCCCCGCATGGATGGTAACGAGGATTGCCAAGTTACCGCCAAATGGGCGGGTCCCCTTTAGACAGATGTCTGAACCGCAACATATGACAGAGATTATTAATCCATCACTTGTACAGAAAATGGTGATAACTGGTTAGTTATCCAGAAATATCAGTGAAGTGAACCAGCTGCTTAGATTGACCAAAAATGTGTTGAAATCAGTGTAATAGCCAGACAAACAAACAGTACTGTCAGTTCGACTGCTAATATACCTGTCTTGTTGGGTTCAAAATGATTTAAAAATATATATTCAATGCAACATAAACTGCTTCTTAAAAGGAACCATAATCTTGTGTTACAGGGGGGAGCCGATATGATGATTATTATGAGTCAGACCTTGAGAGGCCGCCGACTGGAATGTCGTTCCAGTCTAACAGGTACTCTGAGTTATCACCAGACGTCTCCGATGATGAGTTTGAAAGTGTTTCACAAGTCGTTGGTCCCGTAAGTAGATAACATATTCAGAAAAAGTTTAACTGGTTTTTTAGATAGATGCACTGTTATATGGTTTTGCATAATTTTTGGTCACAGTTTGGTTGAAGGAATATTGAGTAACTCATAGTATTCCATATGACAAAGGATTTTCCAAATTCTTTACAAGAACTTTTATATAGTGCAACTGCCTATGAATCCAGCTGCAATGAAAACAAAGATATGAAATTAATGTTTAGTATAATCATTTGTAATAATAGATAATATGACTTTCTCCATTTAATATGTAATATGGACTTTCCTTGCTTGTAATTTCAATATCAAAAATGTAAAATTAACCATCTAGCAGTGCAGTCAATTAGAGTGTTACAGTCAGATTCTATACTCGTAGCAAAAGCAAGTTGTTATGCTCGTATTTCAAGTAATATTCTGACTTCTAATTTTGAGCTCCTCTATTTCGAAAAAAAAAGTCAAACTATAATGATCCCTGCTTTGTTTCAAAAACTTGAATAGCCCATTATTCAATCATTTGTAAAAAAAATAAACACAAATACTTGTATGTGTTATTAAAATTGTGTATTGAAAGTCAATGCCCTTTACAGATGAGTGTTAACACTAATAAATCAAAATCATAATTAAAACAATAAATCAACAATCCACAAATTTTAAAAAGCCACAAAAATGTCTTCTGTGACAAATCCACAAAATTTCATGCCCACAAAATCAAATGAATACACGGTATGAAATTAATATGTAATATTACTCTTACATCATCATGTAGGCCTACCTTATTCAGTGATTCAAACCTACCCTTGTTTTCATACACATAATGAAAATATTTGAGAAATAGATTTTGATTGTATGTACATATATAATTGTAGAGACAGCCAGTATGGAGTGTACCAGATTCAGATGGGGAGACATACAGGGTAGAACCTAGCAGGAAAGCTAGACAGTAAGTCTTTCTCTTACTTCACATGTTCCAATACTAAAAACTGAAGTTAGCCAGGGACTTGGGATTCTTTCATGTGAGGAAGTTTTCCAGGTAGCTTACAGAACGTCAATGGTTCTACTCAGGTTCTCGCTTGAAATGATGCGAAGAGAGGCACCTGCTATGCTATGAAGCAATGCTATGTAATTGATCTTTTAAGTAAGATTGCAATGTACTTGATATGCTGGGTATGAGTGCAATATTCATGATGTTTTGAGTGCTATGGAAATGTACATGTTTTTTTCAGTATCATGTACATGATATGTTGATCATGAGTGCAGTGCAAATAATATTGGGTGTGAGTGTGATAAATTATTTTTTTTTTTCTCACATCAGACTTTTGTGAACATTTTATTCATCATCTCTTTGAGTACTAAATGTGGGATTTATTCTAATTCTTGAACTAATTTTTACAGAGAAGATTATTCAAACTTTTTGTATTTCAGGACAAAGTTTAGTGCCACTGCACCTGTAAGATTTGACGAGAAACCACCATTTCCTAGAAAATCTGTTGATACAGAAAATATGTTTCTAGATGGCAGTAAGACATGGACACCAGGGCAAGAAAGGACTGAGCCAGAAAAGGTTGGCTTAAGGTTACAATATTAAAGCTTTGAGGCAGCATGCTTTAGATTTCATGCTTATTTTTATGAAAATAAGATTTTTCAAAATGATATTTGCTTGTTTGATTAATAAAAAAACATATTTTGTGAACATTTGCTAAAATGGTCCTTACTCTGATAATATAAGGTAGATAAAATAGTGATGAAAATTTTTACTTCTGATATATTTTTTTAGCTCACCTGTCACAAAGTGACAGGGTGAGCTTTTGTGATCGCTTTTCGTCCGCCGTTCGTCCGTCTGTCCGTCCATCGTCCGTAAACTTTTACTTTAAATGACATCTCCTCATAAAGCGCTGAGCCAATTTCACCCAAACTTCACAGGAAAGTTCCTTTGGTTGTCACCTTTAAAAATTGTTCAAAGAATTTAATTCCATGCAGAACTCTCGTTGCAGTGGCAACCGATAGAAAAAAATTAAAATATCTTCTTTTAAAAAACCCAAAGAGGTAGAGCTTAGATATTTGGCATGAAACATCTTCTAGTGTGTGTCTATCAAGTTTGTCCAAATAAAAGCCCTGGGGTCAAAATTGGCCCCGCCCCGGGGGTCATCGATTTTCCTTAAATGTGTATTGCAAAAACTTTTTAAAAAATCTTCTTTGAAAAAACCCAAATAGCTAGAGTTTAGATATTAAGCATGAAACATCTTCCAATTAGTTTCTTCAAAGTTTGTTCAAATAAAAGCTCTAGGGTCAAAATTGGCCCTGCCCCGGGGGACATTAATTTTCCTTATATATGTGTATAGCAAAAACTTTAAATTCTTCTTTGAATAAAAACAAATAGCTAGAGTTTAGATATTTGGCATGAAACATCTTCTAGTGAGTGTCTTCAAAGTTTGTTCAAATAAAAGCCCTGGGGTCAAAACTGGCCCCGCCCTAGGGATGTCATTGCTTTTAACTATATGTGTATAGGAAAAACTTAAAAAATCTTTTTTTTAAAAACTCAACGAGCTAGACCTAAGATGTTTAGCATGAAACGTCTTCTAATGGGTGTCTACCAATTTTGTTCAAATAAAAGCCCTAGGGTTTAAACTGGCCCCGCTCTGTGGGCCTATATACAGGTGAGCGACTTCAGGGCCATCATGGCCCTCTTGTTATAAAAACAAGCATCTAAAAGCAGCATATAGATTGTAATTTCCCATGAAAAGCGATGTTAAAAACATGCAGTATTTTAAAGTTATACATATAGTACACTGCTGCTGTCACTTTATGAAGAAATCACCTTTTTGCTCTTAAAAAGTTAGCTGTATCATGAAATCATTACGTAGATTCCTGACAAGATATATCACGCAGTCTGATCAGGATCCATGCTGTTGGCTTACGAACCATATAACATTGATAGCGAACAGCATGGATCCTGATCAGACTGCGCGGATGCGCATGCTGGTCTGGATCCATGCTGGTCGCAAACCCATTATGTTGGTTTTGTCATGACGTGGCTCATTTATAGGTTTGTGGGCAGTAGGGGACCTTGTTGTGAAGTTTCAGGATTTCTTCTTGTGAAAGGGAAACAATAAAATAAGGGAACAATTTACTGTCACGATTTTATTACCTCCCTTGAATTAAATTTTACTCAAGTTCGGTAATGGCAACTGCTGAATGTTTCTCACTTTCAAATGTGTAATCTGTAGCAAGGAGTGCCTTAAAATTTAAGATTCAAGTTAAGTTTGCGTGTACCTAGTAGCAAAAAATTGAAGTCAGCCTCCTTTAACCTCCCCTCTGTCTTTTGTATTCATAAACTTCTGTATATACTAAGTATTTAGAGATTGAATTAAGCATATATTCAATCTTAGGGTTAACTAAATAGGTAGAGCACATGGACTATGAATCTTGCGACCAGGGTTCGAATCCTGTATGGTACAGGTCGCTTTCGTTGTGATTGATCATGCAATCATTTCTACAGTCATTCCCACTGTACCTCTGCTCTGGCATGTACACAATGTTCTCAGTTCCTTGCAAAAGTGAATGCAATTAGTACTGATAAACTGCTTGACAGCCTGCTCAGGAATAATGCAATGGCTAGACTGTGCTCTGGTAAAATTCAATATGACTTGCTGCCTTGATCCGGAGTGAAAACTACCAACATCGCCATATTAAGAGATTGGAATGAATATGTATTCTTGTTGCTTGAAGCCTCGTTCTGGTTCACCAGTAATAGCCCAAGATACTGTGAGAGATTCAATGAGGTCATTACGATCTCAAGATGGTGGTGGCTGGAATATTCCCGATGATACTGAAGTCTCTTTGGTAACTGACTGGTCAGAATGTAAGTAACAGAAATGAAATTTTAGGTCTTAGGATGTTTACTTTCAACATTTTTAGCTCGACTTTTCTATGAAAAGGGGAGCTATCCTACTCGCCCCGGCGTCGGCGTCGGCGTTAGCGTTAGCGTTGGCGTCACACCTTGGTTAAGTTTTTCGTACCACCCCACTTTATTTCAGAAGTATTACAAGTATGGCTTTGAAACTTACCATACTTGTTCACCATCATAACCTCCATCTACAGACAAGAGTACATAACTCTGTCAAGGTTTTTGACAGAATTATGGCCCTTTTTTGACTTAGAAAGTGTATTGAGCTTGGTTAAGTTTTTTTGTACCACCTCACTTTATTTCAAAACCATTGGAGGTATTGCTTTGAAACTGACCATACTTGTTTACCATCACGACCTTCATCAACAGACAAGAGGACATAACTCTGTCAAGGTTTTTGACAGAATTATGCCCCTTTTTGACTTAGAAAATACATTGAATATGGGTAAAATCCACTTATTGCCTTAACCCTTTGAGATATTGCTTTGAAACTTTTAATGCTATTTCACATCATTACCCCCATCTGTACGCAAGAGAAGGTAACTCTGTCAAGGATTTGTTTTAAAAATTAAGGCCTTTTATCGACTTAGAATCTTGGTTAAGTTTTTTGTACCACCTCACTTTATTTCAAAACCATTGGAGGTATTGCTTTGAAACTGACCATACTTGTTTACCATCACGACCTTCATCAACAGACAAGAGGACATAACTCTGTCAAGGTTTTTGACAGAATTATGCCCCTTTTTGACTTAGAAAATACATTGAATATGGGTAAAATCCACTTATTGCCTTAACCCTTTGAGATATTGCTTTGAAACTTTTAATGCTATTTCACATCATTACCCCCATCTGTACGCAAGAGAAGGTAACTCTGTCAAGGATTTGTTTTAAAAATTAAGGCCTTTTATCGACTTAGAATCTTGGTTAAGTTTTTAGTACCAGTCCACTTTTTGACTGAACTGTTTGAGATATTAATTTGAAAGTTGGAATACTTGTTTACAATCATGATTCCCAAACATGTCCAGGAGAAGGTAATTCTGTCAAAGATTTTATTTGAATTATGGCCCTTAACTGTCAATGTTTTGTATTATAGGCAAGCACTAAAAAAGTCGAGCGCGCTGTCTTACTGACAGCTCTTGTTCAATTAAGTTTTTGTATTATGGTTTGTAGACCTTTCTATTGTAAATGTTTCAAGAAGTTAAATCATATAACCATAAATGCACAGTGAGTTAACTGGAGTGAAAGTATTATATAGTTACATGCACTAGAGTTACTGCACTGTCTGTCAATTGTCGACTATTGATTGGCTACATTTTTAGCTCGACTTTTCTATGAAAAGGGGAGCTATCCTACTCGCCCCGGCGTCGGCGTCGGCGTTGGCGTCACACCTTGGTTAAGTTTTTCGTACCACCCCACTTTATTTCAGAAGTATTACAAGTATGGCTTTGAAACTTACCATACTTGTTCACCATCATAACCTCCATCTACAGACAAGAGTACATAACTCTGTCAAGGTTTTTGACAGAATTATGGCCCTTTTTTGACTTAGAAAGTGTATTGAGCTTGGTTAAGTTTTTTGTACCACCTCACTTTATTTCAAAACCATTGGAGGTATTGCTTTGAAACTGACCATACTTGTTTACCATCACGACCTTCATCAACAGACAAGAGGACATAACTCTGTCAAGGTTTTTGACAGAATTATGCCCCTTTTTGACTTAGAAAATACATTGAATATGGGTAAAATCCACTTATTGCCTTAACCCTTTGAGATATTGCTTTTGACTTAAACATTTCAAACTTTGCTGCAGTGTTCAAGGGTATCACACAATTCAGTAAAATAATTCTTCACTAAATATCTTAATGCTCATGGCCATTGTTCACTTTAAAAATACAGAGATTCTTGTATTGCCTTTTACTGCAAAAACTTTTTTTATTGGCAAGCAATAAAAAAGTCGAGCGCGCTGTCTTATGGACAGCTCTTGTTTCTAGGGTTTATTATTGTGAAAACAGGGAAAGGAATAATGATAAAAAGTCGTATTCAGATGCTTGGTCATTGGTTACTATTTTCTAGGGTTTCATATTGTGATAACAGGGAATATGTTTTATTTTTGCCTATGGTACAAAAGAGAAAGGACATCAAAACACTCAGCAATCTGATTTATACTTGTGGGCTTTGCCCCCTCCTTCAAATCAGTTAGCCTCATGTTTTGATGCTCTTTCTGTTACTTAACTTCATCTATTTTGTTTTATTTCAAATTGAACAGATGTTATCATAGGTTTCAGCTATAATATATAAAATCCACACCATTAGTAACCAAGTTATCAGTCATTAAAATAATAATCAAATAGTTAATCATATAGGGAAAAAAATCATATTTCTAGGTTTAGAATTTTAGAACTGTTGCCACCCTAAAGATGACTTGGGGTCAAACATGGCTGGCCCCAATGTGATCCTGTAAAATTATGTCTCTTTCAAGCAATTAATCTGAGCCCATTATAACCCTTTCCTATTTGTAGAAATGTGTCCTTTATTATGAAAAGTATGTAAATAAAGCTTGATCTATTGAGATAATATTTTGATTCATGCATGAATGTGTTGGAGTCTATTGCTCCACTCTATGTCTTTTAGAAAATTTATCTGGATTTATTCTATTGTATCTCTGTTGATATTTTCAGCAAAGACTACTGGTAGGGCTTCACCTGGGCCTCCAAAAGGTAAGATTTCCTTTTCTCTTGGAGATGGGGGTGGGGCATCAAACGCCCCCTCCCTATTTTTAGCCTGGACATTTAAATTACCATTATAATACATTTTAATGGCATAAAGTTATATTTTAAGAATTTCTTACAATAACATAATAACAATAAAAAATTTATTTGAAGAAGTGGTATAACAATTTCTAGAAGTTTGATTTACAATAAAATTGACATGAATTATTACTGTTATCAAAATAAGACAATGTGTTTTATATATTAAGCTAAATTGTTCATAACTTTTATGACCAGAATTTATTTTTTTTTAATTTTATATTTTCAGCATATTGAGCACACACACAGATAGAATCTACCTTCTTCAACATGCCGTCCATTATTTATTACTCTATTATACATATCAATAGTGACTTACGCAGCCATTTCTCGTAGTTGTGCATAATTCTTTGTATTGATGTTTGATAGGTGATATACATGTATAAGCTTGTGTTCAAAATGACAAATTAAAGAGAACATTACATATATGTGTACAGAACATAATATATTGTAATTATGTCTAAATTATTTTCAAAAATTGTAAAATTTGTAAAATATATTGTAATGTTCCGATGATCCATAATTATTGTTTCATTTTTTAAATATTTTATACAAATATGTAAATTTTATACATAAATACTAAAATTATAGATAAAGAAAAATAATTTTTTGACCTAAACATTTAATATAATCATGACTTTTGTTAAAAGCTCATATGTTTATGCTATATTAAGAATCAAAGAACCAATCAATGGTAAAAAAATGCAGGTTAATTATGTAGCTTAATAATGAGTCTTCTGTAGTAATAGAATAAATTATTTTATTTTTTTATTTAATAACATAACATGCTTAGGTAGTTATAACTATATAATACATGATGTTCCATATTTATATGTCTATGTTTTGTGTAAATGTCACAAAGTTATAGAAATAAATGTAAAAAGAAATGTAAAATATTGTAAACATTATATTTACCTTAGTTTTACCAATTCTGCATGCCCCAGAATTACCAGAATTTGTGTTTCTCAAAGGCTTTTAAATTTTTTTTTCTAGAGCTTAAATATTTGGCATGTAGCATCACCTTGTGGTCGTCTCCAAAGTTCTTTAAATTTGTCCGCCCAGAAGGTCACTTAAATAGTTTACATAGGCTTATATAGGAAAAACATTTAAGTCTTCTTTCATGAAAATGCTATGCCTAGACCTTCAGATATTTAGATCGTAGCTTATGAAAATGACATGCCTAGACCTTAGATATTTAGATCGTAGCTTATGAAAATGACATGCCTAGACCTTAGATATTTAGATCGTAGCTTATGAAAATGACATGCCTAGACCTTAGATATTTAGATCGTAGCTTATGAAAATGCTATGCCTAGACCTTAGATATTTAGATCGTAGCTTATGAAAATGACATGCCTAGACCTTAGATATTTAGATCGTAGCTTATGAAAATGCTATGCCTAGACCTTAGATATTGAGATCGTAGCTTATGAAAATGACATGCCTAGACCTTAGATATTTAGATCGTAGCTTATGAAAATGCTATGCCTAGACCTTAGATATTTAGATCGTAGCTTATGAAAATGCTATGCCTAGACCTTAGATATTTAGATCGTAGCTTATGAAAATGCTATGCCTAGACCTTAGATATTTAGATCATAGCTTATGAAAATGACATGCCTAGACCTTAGATATTTAGATCGTTGCTTATGAAAATGCTATGCCTAGACCTTAGATATTTAGATCGTAGCTTATGAAAATGCTATGCCTAGACCTTAGATATTTAGATCGTAGCTTATGAAAATGACATGCCTAGACCTTAGATATTTAGATCGTAGCTTATGAAAATGCTATGCCTAGACCTTAGATATTTAGATCGTAGCTTATGAAAATGACATGCCTAGACCTTAGATATTTAGATCGTAGCTTATGAAAATGCTATGCCTAGACCTTAGATATTTAGATCGTAGCTTATGAAAATGCTATGCCTAGACCTTAGATATTTTAGATCGTAGCTTATGAAAATGCTATGCCTAGACCTTAGATATTTATATCGTAGCTTATGAAAATGCTATGCCTAGACCTTAGATATTTAGATCGTAGCTTATGAAAATGCTATGCCTAGACCTTAGATATTTAGATCGTAGCTTACGAAAATGCTATGCCTAGACCTTAGATATTTAGATCGTAGCTTATGAAAATGCTATGCCTAGACCCCTTAGATATTTAGATCGTAGCTTATGAAAATGCTATGCCTAGACCTTAGATATTTAGATCATAGCTTATGAAAATGCTATGCCTAGACCTTAGATATTTAGATCGTAGCTTATGAAAATGCTATGCCTAGACCTTAAATATTTAGATCGTAGCTTATGAAAATGCTATGCCTAGACCTTAGATATTTAGATCGTAGCTTATGAAAATGCTATGCCTAGACCTTAGATATTTAGATCGTAGCTTATGAAAATGCTATGCCTAGACCTTAGATATTTAGATCGTAGCTTATGAAAATGCTATGCCTAGACCTTAGATATTTAGATCGTAGCTTATGAAAATGCTATGCCTAGACCTTAGATATTTAGATTGTAGCTTATTAAAATGCTATGCCTAGACCTTAGATATTTAGATCGTAGCTTATGAAAATGTTATGCCTAGACGTTAGATATTTGGTCTGTAGCATAATAATGTCTAGTGGAAATCTACAAAGACATATAAATCATGCCCCTGTGGCAAAGATTGTCACCTGAATATAGACTTGTATGGTAAGAAACCTCAGAAACTAAAGCTTAAATATTTTGCATGAAACACTAGTAGAAAAAACAACGATATATTGAATTTATGTCTCTGGGGTCAAAATTAGCCCCACCATTGGGGTCACTTTGTTTATTTTAACTCATGAAGGAAAATACATTCTTCTGTAGAGAACCTTCAATGCCAAGACCTTGGATATTTGGCATGTATTAAACATTGCAATGTGGTCGTCAACAAAAGTTCTAAAATGGCCCTCTCCTGGGGATCACATATTTTACTAAGACTTCTAAAGCAAAAATTTCTCGAAAACGTTCTTTGAAACTACACATTGTAGTCGTCTACAATTTATATAAATTTTGTGCGTTTAATTGTGTCAAAATTTGCCCCGCCCTTTAGGTCACTTTGTTTATATAGACTTGTATAGGAACATATATTTAAGTCTTCTTTTATGAAACTAAAATGCTAAGATAAATAACGTGTTGCATTGCCTGGTTGACCTTAACAAAAATTTTAAAAGTCTTGCCCCTGGTGTTAAAAATGGCCCCAACCTGGCGGTCATACATAACACATGCGATAATATAGCGGCCATCTTGGATGCCATATTGGTTGCCGGCCATATTATTATTATGTTTAAGAAGCAACAAATCAAAGAAATACATGTAAATGGGGAAAAAATCATGTTTTAGTGACTCCACATATTTCAGCCAGAAAAACATGTTTTTTTTAGAAATGCCAAATATAATGCATTCTATAATATAAATTTGCCATTTAAGATGGAAAGGGAGGAAACTTTTTGGAACTTTTTTGTTCTTAAAATCTACAAACTGTTAGCTTTCAGAAAACATAAGTTTCAATTATGAGCAAATTGTATGCAGTATGTACCGAAGCCTAGACTACGATTTCAGGACCATATTTAAGCATGCTTATCACTGTCAAAAATACATATTGACAACATATTGTCACTTCTTAAATATCGGAGGCGCGTGCCGCCAATTAATGATAGCAATTAACACAATTATCAAGAAACTCTTAAGCAGTTTTAATGTACACTTTATAAGACGCAAACCTTTCTTGTGTCACATAGATTGGATAGAGTTTCATCGCATTAACCGTAATATAATGGTTAGCTATTCGTATTCAAGAAAGGTAACTCGATGTCTGGGAATGTAAACTATAAACTGATTTATTTCCCTTAGATTACCGAGTCGAGATAGCTGATTGAATAATTCTAATATTTTAGATTGACGAGAAGATATAAGAACTTAAAGTTTATTACATACTTTTAAATGAAATATTGAGAAATATTGATGAAATAAAATGCGTATTTTCATTTTCCGTATTTTCACTGTAAAAATTTATTTTTCACTGCAGTGAAACATATTTTCCGTATTTTCACTGGTGTCTTGCCGGACTACTTTCTTTTAAATTCTGCTAGTACTCAAAATTTAAGGGAAGTCTTGCAAATTTTAATGTCCAGAAAGGGAAAAATTTATATAATAAACAGAAAATTCAAGTTTTTTCTACAAATACATGATTTATTTTCATCTTGTGGCATGAAAATTACCATATTTCACTCGTGGCTACCGCCACTCATGAAATATTTATTTTCATACCACTCGATGAAAATAAATCATGTATTTATAGAAAAAACTTGAATATCCTCTATGTATTCGTCTATAATGACAGTTCTGTTATACCATAAATAACTATGTTGATAGTATTTAGTATCATACTCACAACCAAACCACGAAAAAAAGAAATGTTCGAATGTATATTGTTTGTAAGTTTGACATGCATGATATGATAGCATCTATATATAGCAACTAGAACAAAGTAACATTCTTCATCACGTAAATGATCAAAATAGATCACTAAGAGCAGTGTCAACCTTTTGTTAACCAAGAAATATTTCATAAGCATGTACAAATGGTATATTTCTATTGGTTATTTAACATTTGAAATATTTATGGTAAATGTGCCCACTGTACACCAATCTACATTAAACAGGCGGAGTAATGGTCATATAATTGAAATTGGTAATTAAAATTGGTAAGAAAACAAAGTATTAAAGCCATAAAACTTTATAATGAAATAGAGGACACGGACACTTCTTTTTGTTATAATGTAAGATATTGCTCCAATCTGCTTAATATAAATGTATTTATGTCAATTTCATTGATTAGCTTTTGTATTCTTATAATAGATCTAAAACATAGCTGTCCTCAAAACTTCATAATCTCCGTAATGAAATCTGCAGCATATTGTATCTAATGTTTGATTATTTTTCTTACATCTTCTATTTTCGGAGACAACTATTTTTATCATGTGAACATTACAGACTACACACAATTTAACGAAATGAATAATTTTTGTTGTAATTTTCATCATAACATCTTGGACGATATTTTCACTCTATTTCCCGTGATGATTAAAAGAGGCCCGGAAAAGATAAATTAGTAACGAAAAATCACGTGCACATAACATACTTGTACTAGTATAAAATCGTGTCTTTTTCAATTACCCTAGTTTAATGCCCTCTTTGCTAACCGATATATTTTATCTATTGTCAATTTATGTCCAGGATATGTTCTTGAAACTTAACAGTGTACACTATCTTCAATTTAAGAGCAGGTGAATAACCAGCAACAGCGTGCAACCGTCCTTGATTTCATAATGGAAAAAATCGAGAAATAGGGGTGACCGATTTTCCATGATTATGTCATTTAGTTTATTTATTTAACCATGGTACAACAGTTCGTTCTTGCATAGCAGACTGTCGTTTCCGTGAGTTTTACCCATGCCGGAAATTTCATCTGGCATGGGGGGTGCCAGATGAGTCGCGTGCCAAACAACAACGTCATTTTAGCGCCATTTATGAATGAACCGCGATAAAATGACGTCGTTTTAGAAGGGAAATATGTCTTAGGATGACGTCATTTCGCCGTTGTTATTTAAGTTGTAAGTTCATACGCTATTGTAAGAAAATAGTTATGGATGAAATGACTTTAATTTCCATGAACATATACCATATTGAGGTTAACCATTTTAAATATGAAATAATATGGCAGAATATGCAAGAAAAAATATCTTTCATATGTTTGCGGTTCGGATCGGAATATCCGTCCCTCGGGAACCCGCCCATGGGCGGTAACTCGGCAAGCCTCGTTACCGCCCAATGGGCGGGTCCCCTCGGGACGGATATTCCGGTCCGA